GAAACTTGTACAAACCCGGAAGTAAGATTTTTGGCACAGAAATACTATGCCATACGTCCAAATAGTTTTTTTGAAACTTTGTCCATGCTTAGCATGAGAATCCAACTCTTTAAAAGTGTAAACAACTCTGAATGCATGAAACAGCATTGTACCCTCCCTTTAAATAATTTTAATCTTAGTCTGTTTACTTTGTGTATGTTTTATTTATTTAAATTTTTTTTTTAATTAATTCAATATAATTATTTATGCCACCATGACCAGGTCCTGGAAATTAAATATTTGTTATTTATAATATTATACATCAAATATATTAGTATTATAATTTGTATTGTTATTTTTATATTTCATATTTAGCATTCAAAATCTAACCAACAAGCACCATAGCACAGCAATATTTTAATACTAAATTATGGTTGGCCTATCAAACATTCGCATTACATGATACATTTTTTCTTGAAAAAAAGTCACAATTTATTCATGGAAAGTGAACCCTTTTCCTATAGTGCACTATAAGACATAGCCATTTTATAGCCTGAATTTGTAGTGTACACTTTCATTCCTATCCTATGTCGTGCACTACTTTCTACCCATAATGCATCTTATTTGTAGTGCCCAAGGATTTGGTCATTTTGGGATCACCCCGAACAAAAGGAAAGACCCAGCTTTCATTGATAATAAATATGTTTATTCTGGCTCTCAGAGCGTTGTTCTGGTTTATGTTGGCATGGTGACATCCACAACATTGAATGTGGATTCATACAGCAAGTTGCTGGAGACCAGTGTGGCATTGAACAGCAAACATGCATGATTTCACTGCCCTGTAGTGAGGAGAAGCAGAATAAATATCTGCTGAGAGACAAGATCACACTGACACTCAGCAGCATATACAGGTTTAACGAGGCACATTCATTCAAATATATACCCATTTACAGTGAAGAGCTCATGTCAACCGCACATCTGAATAAAAAGAAGATTCAATTTTGTTCTGCTGAAATCATCAGAGTTTCATTTGAGAATTAATTTGTGGATGGATATAGTAGTGAAAAGATAATTATATACAGGGGAGGAACATGTTCAAGTCACAAGTGTCTTCTGAGATTTTAAAGAGGCAGGCCTCACTCTTAGCTACTGAAATGCAATAGCTATTGATAGCTTTTAAATCATTTGAATTATTCAGTCTTATTTGTATGGCATAATAATCCTCCATTTTTGTTGTTCAAGAAATTGAAATACTATACTGTGTTAACGTTCAATACTGATTCCGCAGATAAAGAAATCGATAAATACTTGAAGAGAAAAAAACCAGGTGTTCCCTAGAAACTCTCAACAGAATATTAAGAATTATAAAACAAATATTACTCATTCTATACAGCTTTTTTCCATCACAATATACAGCAAATTGGCTAAATAAGCAAAAATACTGCCTTTGTGGAAGTTAGCGTTGTGTAATTGTCCCCAATATCATTCTTTACACGATTATACTCTAAAACATCTCAGGCTTAAGCTTGGCTTAATGACGGAGTGCATTTGTGCCTTAGTTCTGGTGCTTTGTTGGAAGATTACAGACATAGAGTGAAGGTGGACTGGCTGTGTGGGTCTCAAGAGGAACTGAGGCCGGAATCTGACTCCCCGTTGGCCTCCTGGGCTTTTCCTGCACACGGCATGGAGGAGCAGGGAATGCTGTAGGAGGAGCAGGCACATGTTTGAATGACCTCCTTTAGAGTTCCACCCTGTTCCTCTACTTTGAAGATGTTTGGCTGCTCGAGTTTGTCATCACAGATTCTGTGGACAAAGAAACGGTGCAAAACATTTTTTTAGCTATGGGTCAATCTGTGTCATCTAACAAGGACAAAGCTATAAGGAAGTTTCATTAACATAAAAATAGCCATCCAGGGTGAAGGGGAGGGGATCATACCAAGGTTTTGACCAAGAGCAAAAAAATGTGGTAGTAGATTTCACTGTAGTTTTCAGTGTTTTATGATAAGCATCTCCATATCTTTGCCATATCATGCTTTTAATTTCTGCTACTGACCTTGGAGTAGACAGAATATTTAATATGACAAATGAAAACGAAGCTTTGAGCATTACAAGTATAGTCTGTGCAACCAAACATTAAAAAAGTCTTTGTTGGGCAAAAAACAACTCCAGAAAACATGGAAATTATGACAGTTTGTGACATAGGACAGTGAGACAGGTTAAACAGACTGTGATTGTACCCCCATAGCCTCATTTTCATCCGTATCAAATTAAAGTTAACATGAACTGCTGTCGCAGCCTATTCTAATTCAGTAGTCTGAATGAAAATGTATATACAATTTCAATTTCAAATTACAATTGTTTCCGAACTGGATCCTTTCAAATAAGAATCAATTCAGACCGCATGCAAGTTAAAATAAATAAATACAATAAAAAATAGTCAGTTACCCCATAAAAAGTTTCTTTCTGCTGAACACAAAAGCAGATATAATACTGAAGTAGTATGGAATATAGTATGGAAAAATATACTATGGAAGTCAATGGCGTTTTGAAAACAACATTCTTCAAAATTTCTTCTTTTGTGTTCAGCAGAAGAAAGAAACTCATACAGGTTTGAAACAAGTGGAGGGTGAGTAAATGATGACAGAGTTATCATTTTTGAGTGAACTATCCCTCTAAGATGACCCATTATTATGCCTTCTTTGGTATATAAATTGTTTATATTAAGATCAGGGATGTACATTTAAAACATATATATTTTGAATTGCACGTTGACTTTATTTATGATGTCTACTCTCACTAAGGTCAAAAAATTAAAAACAAGCCACATTCTCTTTCAGAATAAACAAAAACAACAGCCTGAAAATCCAACCTCACTGCTTGGGACTTCTCCCAGCTCTGGGATGTTATTTAGATTCACATTTAAAGGATATCCATGGAAACTGGAACAACATCATTAATTTATATGTGCGAGGGACCTAAATATTTGTGACAAGGAAAGTCACAAGTCTTCTACCACGATGTCTCTACCATCATGATGACAGATGATATATGTGTGATTAAGAGCATTATGCATACTGATGGGCTCTTTTCCGTTGGCTCTTGGAAAATTTGTTTATGTACTTCATTATCCATTACAAATGACATGCCAAAACATGCTCAGTAAGCACTCGGCTATTAAAAATACATCCCATATGTAGCCCCAAGGAATAAAACATTGTTTATTCATGAAAAAGGAGTCATCATTGCAAATGTGTGGGAAAAGCACTCATCACGATTTATAATCTTCTATAATTATTCTAACACATAATTTTCATAATATTATAATAACAGACGATATTCAAATATAGTTGGGTTTAAAGGGGTCATATGATGCGATTTCAATTTTTCCTTTCTCTTTGGAGTGTTACAAGCTCTTGGTGCATAAAGAAGATCTGTAAAGTTGCAAAGACTAAAGTCTCAAATCCAAAGAGATATTCTTTATAAAAGTTAAGAGTCAGCCACGCCTACCTAAAACGGCTCGTTCTAACACACCCCCACATACCTACGTCACGATCTCGGAAGATTTGCATAACGCCGCCCAAACGTTCACGCAAAGAAAGAAGGCGTAACTTATATTCTCGCTGTAGTATTGTTGTTGCCGCCGCCAGGTCGTGAAGGCGCTGTGTGATTCGTTGTGAAAGCGAAACTACTTTGTTTGACCTAAGTGGAGTCCAGCCCGGGGTCGTCACATTTGGTTGCCGCAAGCCCGCCGGACGCTCCTTCGTCGATTCCGCCGGCCGCACCGTTCTCAAGCCCGCCGACCGTTCCTCACTCAAGCCCGCCATGTGTGACACTGTGTGTTTCGTCGTGAAAGCGAAACTACTTTGTTTGGCCTTCCAAAAGAGGACACGACGTTGTATTTACAACACTGTTCCAGAACAGTTCAACCCAAATATTCAGATGTGTGCAGCACATTTTATGGAATTTTTATGGACTGTTTCCTGATCCTGGTAGAGTAGACTACAATGCCGGCTGTTCTGACTCAAAAGACTGTAAGTACGTTTTTTATATTTAAACTATTTGCCACTGACGATTCAAACGCGAGTTCTGAGGACGCGTTTCAGAAAGGCGGGGCATAGAGGAGAAACAATAATGTACAGTATGTGGAAAATAATGTGTTTTTTTAACCTTAAACCGCATAAACATTTCATTACACCAAATACACAAAATAATGTTCTTTTTAGCAACATCATATGACCCCTTTAAGTTGGGTTTACTGGCACAGCAAATACGTTTAGAGTGAGATCATTCATATATAGATAAATGCTGCTTTTTTTCTGCCATGCCTTTATCAAGATCCTCAATCATGCTGGTTTGAGAGCAGAAGCCATTAATTCATCCATCCATCCATTTATTCATTCATTTATCCTTCAATGATTAAGTCATTGAGGTCCATGGAGGGGATTCATGTACTGTTAACGTGGCTAGTACTGAAAAATTCACAGTGGAAATAAAACAAATGCACATCTGCACTGTAATTTGTGTAATATGGGTTCTGGGAGGGAAACTAAGTCACCCATATAAAGAGGAAGTCTCGAATGCTCAGAATGATGTAACAGGCAGCTGAACCTCAACCCAGTGCTGAATCATTTGTATAAAAGCTACTCAAAAACAAATCTCCACAGTTTTACTGCCTCACATCATTGCTGTAAAACAATACGGTTCTCTTGGTGCTAGTCGGTGAGAATGACAAGTCAGGAAGCAGCCAAATGCCAATAAAAAAAACAAACAAACAACTGGGAAACAGATGACATTACGGGCATCAGAGGAAGTTGAAGCATTAGGCTTTGGCACCAAGCATTCATGTATTCTGAAAAAAGAGGCAAATTACCATAAAATGGTGTGAGGAATATTAAAAAAATGAAAAAGTGACTAAAAGTCAATAAAGAGTCAATAATGCATATAAATATTTGGTTACCAACGAAAAATCACATCAAACAAATCAAAGGTTAAAACTGAAATCTTTTCAAGACTGTTTGGTAGTAATACGTTATTATTGTATATAATTAGGGATGTAACGATTCACTCAACTCACGATGCGATTAACGATACCGATTCACAATTCGATTTTTTCTAAACAAAATTTGAATTTAAGACAAATTATAAATGAAAAGGTGTCCTTTTATTATTGCTTGGACAAAATGCTGCACATTTCTTTGTGAAACAGAAATATGTCAAATAACAAAACTAAATTGAAATTTTAAAACAAACCCTAAATCTAATCAAATAAATAAGACAAAAAAAAAAATCTCTTCATATAAACAAAGGCTACCTGTGCTCTTTCCATTCAAAATTAGAGGCAACCACTGCATTTGAATCACAATCCAAACAAAGATGCTGAATACATGCAGCATGAGCAGTTTTTTAAAATCTAAATTAGATTGCATGATTTGACATTTTAAAACAAAAACAGAATGCTCTGACTTTAGTTTTGTGAAACTATACTACATGAAACATCTGCACTAAACAAAGAGCAGAAGCTCTGAATGAGACGCAGATTCACTCTCTGACGGCAGGTGGTGCTCATGCAACAGCAGATACAGCGTTTCCTTGGTTACCGCTGTAAACAAAGCAGCGCTGCACTTATGAGCGCTGCTTTAATATGAATTATACAGAGACGAGATCAAAAGAAAATATCATCTAAACTTTTCTAAAGACAGCCAGTTCCCCTCAAAGATACATTCATATAAACTCCCACCCCCAAATGTATCGCGATTCATTTAACATCTCAACCGATTTGAATCGTCACATATTTGTATCGATTTTCATCCGGCTCGCGGTGAATCGTTACATCCCTATATATAATTATTGTATACATGTATAGAAAGTACAGATTTAAGTATTGTGTGTGTATATATATATATATATATATATATGAAAAATATTGATTTAAAAATGAATTCAAAATTGCAAAGAAAGTAATTTACACAAAATAAATCACAAACTAATACTAAACAAAAAAAATTAAATCATACAGGTTTGGAATGAGCAGAGGTAAGTACATGATGACAGAATTTTCATTGTTGGGTGAATTATTCCTTTAAATTTCAATAAAAAGGAACAGAGTTTCTCTAAGCAGGTCTTGAGGGTTTTACTACAGTAGAGAAGGAACAAAAATACAGAACAAATATTAGCTGAACTGTCAGAAACTGCAAAAAAAAACAAACAGCAAACACAGCATGTTATGTAAACATCTGTCAGTGCTTGACGGACTAGGGTTGTGCCGACAGACGATAGTATCGTGTATCGACGATAGTCAGAGATATCGACATAGCAGATGTCTTTGTCGATAGTCAAGACGATATTAGGCTCATACTCCTATTAATGTATTAATAATAATAATTATTATTATTGCGCGCGCAAATGAGGAGCCTGTAGCCGGTGAAGGAATCTCCAACCACAAACACAGATACATATCGTCTGCTGATATAACGTATTTCGTTGCACTTTAACAAGTAATCTGAACGGCCTATATATGTGCAATATTTTAACCAAGCCCTCACTAACTGAGTTTAATGCCACAGTTATGTTAGAACGCATCTCATGGGGCACGCGGTCAGGAGCGCTGTATGACTGATGTATCTGTTTAATTTAAATTTACTCCAAATATATGAACTTACCTGTTTTAAATACTTTATATTTAACATGTTTGTTTATGTCCAATATTTAGTGTTAAACTGTTGGTCTTTAAAATAAATCTAATTTTGATTTTCACCGTTGACTGATTTTGCAGACCAGACTGATAACTTCCGTGTGTCGATGCGGCAAACTTGTCACAGGATGTGCGGTCCTAGCAATGTATGACTGTTGTATCCGGATATATATGAACTAGCTGTTTTAAATATTTTTGTATTTAACATGTTAGTTTATCAGTATGTTGAAAGTATATTATTTAGATTCGTGGTGCTTCCATAGGCTCCCTCACTCTCTCGCGCGCGGTTTAAAACACCAAATAGTTATGAAATAGCCTATGACAAGTACAGTGAGTCTCTCTCTTGCCCCCACCCACCCACACACGATAATATCGTCTATCGGCGATCTCACGGACTGGCGATATGACGATTTGAAAAATTACCATATCGCCCAACACTATGACGGACCTCAGAACTGGTTTTACTGGATACATTTTACAGTTACATTTTTTCCACATACATACACAGTGATATTTACACAGCCGGAGGTTATGTCTGATTGTAACTAATTGAAAAGTGCATATATGGCATAAAGTGCATTACATAAACACAGAACATCGCTGATTAGATTAACCTTTACCCAGAATGAAACGCAGATTCACTTAGACATGTGCTGATATGCCTGGGCCATCAGGGAAGAGCCATACTGTAAACCACTACGTCATTTATACAGAAATGCATGCACGATCATTGATGATGTTGAAAGAGTCAACATGGCAGTCAAATTATGTATGACAACATCACCTCTTGTGGGCTTATGCAATATGTTCTTATAGTTTTTGTTTCTTATGCCAAAAACACAACTGACCATTTTCCACCCCTTTTCTTACTTAAACAGACTGATATTGCTACTGTACCTTTATGACGTTTATATATCTTTATGACTTTGCTGCTGTACTTTTATGACTAGCTGATTTGGTTTTTACATGTGAAAAGTTCAACAATATATTGTCAATATGTAGTGCAAGTAAACATTTAATCAATATTCTCAGCCCTACTAAAGACTGCTGTTGGAGGAACTGAAGGTTCTCTAGTACAAAAAGACAAATTATAGCCCACCTGTCGTATATGAGGCCATCAATGCCCTGTTCCCTCAGCTTCATCCTGTTCTCATGGTCGTTGTTATAGTCGCCCCAGCAGAAGACCACCAACCCTTTAGACTGAGCCTCTCTGATGAACTCCATGTTTTGCAAGAGCTCATCAGTGTGAGCACTGATTCCCTGTGAACACATACAAAAAGTCTTTATTTTGTCTTTGTCATGAAATTTGACATGGCACCGCTTGATGCTGCCAAACTGGCTGTCTCTGTCTCTGAAGTATCAACAGCTGTGCTGTCACACCATTGATCTCTTACCAGTATGTTCTCACTCTGAGCAAAGCTCATGGCGATCTTAGTGCTCTGACAGCGGATGTCCATGAGTTCAGGGTAGAGGTCTGTCACTCCTTGTGTCAGAAACAGGATGGGGTATTTGTTCTGTTTTTGCCTCACCCTGAAGAAGACAACACAATTTATTTAAACTTAAAAACAAAATCAAGGTTGACTATTTACTTCCTTAAAGGAATAGTTCCCCCAAAAATGGAAATTGGCTAAAAATTTACTCACCTTCAGGCCATCCAAGATGTAGTTGAGTCTGTTTCTTCATCAGAACAGATTTGGAGACATTTATCATTCCATCACTTGCTCACCAGTGGATCCACTGCAGTGAATGGGTGCCGTCAGAATGAGAGTCCAAACAGCTGATAAAAACATCACAATAATCCACAAGTAATCCACACCACTCCAGTCCATCAGTTAATGTCTTGTGAAGTGAAAAGCGGTGTTTGTAAGAAACAAATCCATCATTAAAGCATTTTAACTTTAAATTATTGCTTCTGGCCAAAATACAAGTCCATAATCCATAATAACACTTCCTCCAGTGAAAAAAAAATTTTGCTAGATCCAGAATAGAAATCTGCACA